AAACTATTAAACATTTCCAGGTTTCTAAGAAGGAGGCTAAGTCAAATAAGACAACAGACTTAAATATGAAATATTGAAAACTGGTTTATTTACAATGACATTATTTGCAATGTTATGCATTAATTACAACAACACTATAATATCTGTATATAAATGCATAAAAACAACTCATGATACGGTATTTTATAGCATATAAGACGCACTTTTTTGTCCGAAAAATGGCTAAAAAATCAGCCTGCAGCCTATATGTGAAGCTGCGGTCTCCCGTAAGCTAATGAATCCCCCAGTTGCTGTCATGAGTAGGCTAAATTCTACCGAACCCAACTCCAGAATTAAAAATATGTTATTGCTTACTTAAACACATGATTATTTTTAATTAAAAATTAATTAATGTAAATATAAAAGGTCAATCTATAACAACTCTGTACTGTACTGATGATGATAACCCGAGACGATTAACGTCAGTGCGGCAGACACCCAACTCTTCAGAGGTAACTAAGCAGTAACCATTTCTGAACTCTTACAAGCATTACAATCTATTACTGCCATACCTGCAACATTTATTTTTTAAATCTACAAATACTTGATGCAAATGAAGATTTACAGATAACTTTCTTTTCACATTTACATTTGCTAACAACGCTTAAGCTGTCGTTTTTTAACTGGTATTTTCGGGTAGATATACGTAACTTTCTTCATTTATTTTTACTGATATACAGTGGTCCCTCGATTAACAAACACAAATGGTTCCACAGAGTCGTTTGTTAACTGAAAATTTTGTTAAATGAATCTATTATTTCAATGGGATATTGGGTAATTGGTTCCAACTCACAGAAAAAGTACATCATACAAAATAAAGCCAAAAAACGCATAAAGTCAGAAACATTCCTAAGAATCCCCGAAATCGCCCTTAAATCACTACTGTAATGTGATACAGGTGATTAATTTTTATCTCGTGTAAAATATTTGACGATTATATTCAAATTATTCGCTGTCTTGCAAGGATTCCAGCATTGCAAATTATATTCTCCTAATTTTAGTCTGTGATATTATATAAGATAAGAACTGTAAGCCTAAAACCCTGGCTGGGCAGACGGGGGAGCGGGAGGGAGGGAGAGAGCGGGAGGGAGGGAGGGAGCGGGAGGTGAGGTGATATGTTTGACAGTTGGCGCAGAAGGTCTAATGTGTGTTTATTTATCAGTCCTTAAGATTGACTAAGTTTTTCTCTTATAAAATGCCACTGAAATGACCTGGGAGAATATAATTTACATTGCTGGGAAGACTGTAAGATAGTGATTAATTTGAATATAAACAAGCTATGATTTGCACTAGACATAAAAATTTTAGTACTGTAATTATTTAGTACATGTACAGTACAGGTTTGCACTTAGGTAATTTATTTTTTACTTTTCTTTTAGTATGGTGTGTGCTTGTAAATGAATAAAAATAAATGAAGAAATTTATGCAAATCTACCCAAAAATAGTAAAAAAAAACTTGTACATTATTAAAATGTACTAAACTAATGTACTAAAATTTTTATCTCTTGTGCAAAATATATGACGTTTATATTTAAATAATTCACCTTCTTGCAAGGATTCCAGCAATGCAAATTATTCTCCTAACTTTAGTCTGTGATATTACAGTATATAAAATAAAGACTGTAAGCCTAAAACCACCAAACCCTGGCTGGGAAGGGCAGGGGGGGGGGGGAAGAGGTGACAGTGACATGATTGACAGTTGGCACCGAAGGTCTAGTGAAGCATTTATTTGTTTTATGTCCTTTAGATTGAGTTTGTGTTTTTTGCTTATAAAATGTCACAGAAGTGACCGGGGAGAATATAATTTACATTGCTGGAATTCTTATAAGATCGTGATTAATTTAAATATTAACATGCTATAGTTTGCACTAGACAAAATCTTATTAATCATTTTGTGCATTATTTTGAGGACATGTACAGTACAGCTTTGCCCTTAGGACAGTGTGTGCATGTAAATGAGTAAAAATAAATGAATAAAGTTACATATATAGAGCCAAAAATATTAGTTGAAAAACTTTATGTAGACAGAGCATGGATGGCTAAATTTTAGAATGACCTATAATTTTAATATAAAAAATGCAAAAATATTCAAGAACACAACTTTCTTGATATTTACTCCACTGGAAACAAATGTAAACATAGAACAGATTACTGTGTTGGCAGACTAGTCCATCACCTGATAGGCTGATGCGCACAACAAAGTGTGTTTCTTCTAAGGCTTTTGTTAATCGAAGTATTGTTCGTTAATGGAAATAAAAATCTTTATGGGAGCTAATTCGTTAACCAAAATTTCGTTAGTTGAACTGTTCATTAATCGAAGGACCACTGTACATGCACACACCATCTTACATATATAGTAAATGAAATACTGTAATTGTTCTAAGGGCAAACACATAAAGGGAATATACATTTATTTGCACACGAGTTAGATGGCTGAGTAGGGGAGGGGGAGAACGACTGTGCGGTTGGTGGTGGGGTGGAGCATTGCAAGGTGAATAGGCGGAGGTGGCGTACCCATTACTATGGTAAACATGGAGTACAGATGTACAGTAGGTCTTATTTATTGGTACTACAGTGGTCCCTCGGTTAACGAATTACCTTCCATAAGAATCCTCAATTCAGTTAACGAACAAAACTTCGATTAACGAAATCCTTATGAAAATCACGTTTTGTTTTGAACATCAGCTGAGGGGGGTACTCAGCCAATTCAGTAATCTGTTCTGTGTTTATAGTCATGTTCAATGGAGTAAATATCAATAAAGTTGTGCTTTATAATATTTATGCATGCTTTCTATTAAAATTATTAGTCATTTTAACATTTATTTTACATAATGATAATATATGCAGTACAATTGTACCCCACTTAACGCGGTCAATAGAACCCAGAGGGTCCCGTGTTAAGTGAAATCCGCGTTAAGTGAACAACAGAACATATGGGATTAATTCCAATAGAAACCGGCCCAACCCCCAAACTCCACTTTTTGAAGACACATAACTATGTTGTAGTAAAAATAACATCTTAATTTTATGATGGTACATGCACACAATTAATACTTAAGAGAAATAGAGAAATACAGTCGCCAAGTTAATGTCCATTCAAATAATGGACTCAACTCCCTCCCCCTCTCACACTACACTGCCGGCTCTTTCCTCTCTGAGAAATTTTTGGGGGAAAACCACTAAATTTTAATAAATAATACCTCAAACTAAAGTTAGGATAATACAATTGACATTGCTGGATTCCTTGTAAGACCAGGAATATTTTGAATATAAATGTCATATATTTTGCACAAAAGATAACATAGTTACCCAGAGAAAAAATTTTATCTAAAATTTGTATGTCTAATGCAAAATATATGATGTTTATATTCAAAATGATCACCAAATTATAAGAATTCCAGCAATGTAAATTATATTCTGACCGGGTAATTTGTATGAATTTTATGAGCTAAAACAAATATCTTCAGTTAATAAAAAAAAAAATAATCTTCACGACACTATCTGTCAATCAAAGTACCCCACCTTGCCTCCCCCCTCTTCCAACCGCGCGGTCAGTCCCAACCCTCCCCCCCACCCCCCAATCCTCCCTTCAAGAGATGTGGGGTGAAAAAAATAAATTTTAACATTTTGTATTAAATAATACCTCAGATTAAAGTTAGGATAATATAATTGACATTGCTGGATTCCTTGTAAGACCAGGAATATTTTGAATATAAATGTCATATATTTTGCACAAAAGATAACATATTTACTCAGAAAAATTTTTATCTAAAATTTGTATGTCTAATGCAAAATATATGATGTTTATATTCAAAATGATCATCAAATTATAAGAATTCCAGCAATGTAAATTATATTCTGACCGGGTAATTTGTATGAATTTTATGAGCTAAAACAAATATCTTCAGTTAATAAAAAAAAAAAATATTCTTCACAGGGTAACAGATGGTCGGTCGGTCCCTCCCTCCCTCCCTCCCCCCCACCCCCCACCAACCGTCCCAAGGAGATGTGTGGGAAAACCAGAATACTTAACTTTTTTGTAATAAATAAAACCTCAAACTAAAGTTAGGATAATATAATTGACATTGCTGGATTCCTTGTAAGACCAGGAATATTTTGAATATAAATGTCATATATTTTGCACAAAAGATAACATAGTTACTCAGAGAAGAAATTTTATCTAAAATTTGTATGTCTAATGCAAAATATATGAAGTTTATATTCAAAATGATCACCAAATTATAAGAATTCCAGCAATGTAAATTATATTCTGGCCGGGTAATTTGTATGAATTTTATGAGCTAAAACAGGCAGTCAGGCAGGGTGGCGGGTGGGGGCAAATCTAAAAATAGCGTCTCGAGCCGGACACTCACCGTGTATATGTGGAAAAAATCCGTGTTAAGTGAAAGTTCAGCTCTGGCGAGGCACCGCGTATATGATAAAACGCGTTAAGTGAAACCGCGTTAGGCGGGGTAATACTGTACAGGGAACTAGTTAGTTGTGCACCCATCAGATGCGTGGGTTGGCCACCAGGCGTCAGTTTGGCTTTGTTTACAATCGAGAGAGCAACTATTTTGTTGGTGTCTTGAATAGTTTTGCATTTTTCATTGAAATTATTGGTCATTCTGAAGTTTATTTAACATATTGATAATATACAGCACAGTGCAGTGTTGATGTAAAGAAAATAATCTTGAATTACACCTAGTGAACTTAAAATTTTATTGATGAAATGACGGCATCAAGCATGGGTCCCCTGAAAGGTGATTTCCTCTCCATCCCCACTTCCTTCTCTTCTCCTCCACCCCACTTCTAATTCCCATCATCATCATCAACCAGGAGCCTTCTACATACACACCTCAAAGTATGTGTACTTACTGCATTTTTTTTTATACTTTGTATGTAGTTTTTGGTGAGCTGGAACCAATTACCCAATATCCCATTGAAACAATAGATTCAGTAAACGAACGACCTTCTGGAACGAATTGTGTTCGTTAACCGAGGGACCACTGTACGTATTATTATTTATTCCTCACATTTACTGGTACTGAATATATTGTTTTAAGAAAACTATGGATAGAGGAGGAAAACACTGTACACTTAAAAGTTTTTCCTAAATACTGCCTGCTATAATAGGGGTTGCGTCTTATATGGCTGAGTCTAATATGCCGTAAAATACGGTACTTAGTACGTACATGACAATACAGTATAAGGATTTAACATGAACAAAGAAAATAACTTAAAATTACCAATCATACAATAAAAATATGCTCTTATAGCTCAAGACCAAGCTACACATACGAAAATATGAAAAATCCTTTTGATGAAACAATTTACATGATTGGGTTTCATTCTTCACAAAGCCTTTAATACCTACATAAATCAATGAGAGTAAGTACCTCTGAGTTACTGTACAGCATTTAAAATTAATTTTAACCAAAGCAAAATCATGGCAGTTAGCCTTGGCATACTTCATCCTTCCTTTCAATAAATGTGCCTTTATTTTATTTTAAATACTCGACTCCTACAAGAACTGGAAAATTTTGTTGTTTTAATGATTTTAATCATTTTTTGTTTTGCTTTTTAGATTTTAATAACAAAATTACACCATTATCACATTTGCAAATAACAGCTCGTCACAGGAAGCCATGTTGTAAAACAATTATGATAAAGACACTGTATAAGACACCATGCTATACTGTGGAAGATGGTATAATAAGAGCTGGCAGATGAAGACAGTTCCACCATCACAGTGTGCAATGCTCACACTTCTGATATAACCAAATCCAGGACTTGGCTAACACCATAATATTTCTCTTTAAATATGATTTCAAAAGAGCTGTATTCTTGCCTCGGTTTCTATGACTTGGAAACCTTGTGGGATCAGAAGTGAAATAATACCTTAGTGCATCCTACTAATAATCTTTTGAAGATAACGCCATGGTAATCACACATCAACAATCACTCCCGAAAGCCCTGTAACAATGAGTAAATAATAAGGAAATAACTGAAGCCACACACCACATGTACAAAATTTGAAATAGCAAAATGACAATATATTTCATTGCCTCAATAATTGCCAGAGCTAACTTACAAAAAATAGCAATTAATAAATAAAACAAATTAAGTAATATGTAAACACCTTTCAACATGCATAGCTAAAAATTAATCATTTATCAGGAAAGTGAACTGACTTTTTAGCATTCTGACTAACTTCATTTACTTTCAACATTCAAAACTTCATGTATAACAACACATATCAGCCCACAATTCTTACTTGATCCATTCTCATACTGATTATTATAAAAAGTACCATGAATTATCTTTTGGAACATCCCTTGATGTTAGTGTATTGATCTCATCATTACATTAAACTTACTATTCACACATTATATAATAGACACAATCACTAAGGGAATGGTCACATTATCAAAAATGCAAATAACATTGTTACATACTATGCAATGCTGAATTCAGAACAGCAAAGCAATCACAGGCAATTTTTCATTTTCACACGGTAGAATTACTGCTGCATTTATTTTGTGTTTGAAATAAATAAAGAAATGAGAACAAAGCCACTACGCCATATAAATGCCTATATCTTATACCAGGCTTTATAACTGTCTATCTAATATTTGGCAAATATGTACTGTATAGCCAACATGACTAGATTACCTGATATAATTTCTCATCACTAAGACAGGAAACGGAAATATTCCTCATTCCTTAATCAGTCCCAGTAATATAGAACTTCCCCTTTGAGCTCAGTGCTCTTTTTAAGATAACACCCCATTGCTCTTCCTGGTTGCTTTTGTATTACACAAATGCATGTTTCTTACTGGATTTGGTAAACAAACCTGGTTTACTTTTTACAATAATTGCCATCACAGCTGAGATACAATCATTCAAGAATTAAAAACTTAATTTCTAGTCAAAAGCAATGGCATTACTTTTTTCTATCTGATCATTGCCATTTTACAAGTTGTTTATTTATTCGTTAAATTCTTAATGAAAAACTGTTTTCTCTTCACATAAGTATATCAAAAAATTTTTGGACTAACAATTCAATGAAAAGACAAAGTGGCAGTCATTTAATACTAGTATTAAATACTAACACTAAAACATTAGCAAAGTTTTGTCCGATCTTTAGGATAGATAAATATCAGTTATAATCTGAAATCAACTGTATCTATTTTGTTTAAGAATACACCATCACCACAAACTAACACCCTTAAAAAAAATTAAAATAAATCCTTCAAGTGCAATGAATATAAAATTCATAAAACAAACTTGTGAAGATTATACTATATGGCACGAACTAGTCTTAAAGTATGCCTTGAGGGGTCACTCTCCTGTTATCGGGCTGATGTCAACACGACCCTCAGCCTTTGCCTTCATATATGCAGCAAAAGCAGCTTTCTCCTTCTTCTCCTTTTTTTTGTTACGTACTTCATAGTCCAACCTGTAAAAAATTATAACCTTAATCCATTATATATTTTCTATTAGAATATTGGTTATCAGCAACCCTTTAAACATAGTTATTGTATTTTCCAACACATCAGGCACACCACAATGCAAGATGCATCCAACTTTGGAGGGTAGAAAGGGAGAGAGAGAACACAGTGGTGGCTTCCACGTCAATACTATCTATGCATACTGTGACTTTCATCTCAACCTCTTTTTCATTGCACACGCCTCCCACTGTAAACAAACTTATTTCCCCCTAATCCTTGTAAAGGTGCTAGATGTTTGGAATCAGATTCTGGGACAAGGTGGCAATATCATCAACATATATCTGGACTTTGTCAAGGCTTTCAGCAGTGTATCCCATGAAAGGAAGTGTCTAGAGTGGATCAGAGTCTTTTCTTCGTGACCGCAAGCAGTGTGTGGTGATTAATGGCACAAAATCAGCATACATACCTGTGAGAAGTGGGTTATCACAGAGCAGTGTACTGGGCTCGTTGTTTGTTTCATAAATGACATGCCAGAAGGTATAAACTCTCCAACCAAATATTTGCAGACGATGCCAAGTTATTCAGAGAAATTAAAACCAAATGGACTGTGAAGAGCTACAGAAAGATCTCTGGCAGCTTCAAAAGTGGTCAAAGGAATGGCTTATTATGATTAAATGTCATGAAGTGTAAGAGGGTGCACCTAGGCATACCAACAGAAAGGAAGCGTTTCACATGTCCCAACGGGACAAAGAAACAGCATTAACAGAGCCCGAATGTGAAAAGGACCTGGGTGTGTATGCTGACAATGAATTGAAGTTCTCGGACCATTGTGAGAAGGTGAATCAAGCAACTAAACTAGTAGGTCTTATAAGAAGGTTATTCAGATATTTAGATGGTATGTCCCTTAAAATACTCTTCAAGAGTGAGGTGCTGCCATTTAGGGGTTCTATCACGCTGTCTGGTCCACGAGATATGCTAGAGACTGTAAGTTGATTGAAAATGTCTAAATGTGACCAGGTAGGCCACCAGACTGGTGCCTGTGCTATGGCACCTCAATTACCCAGAGAGATTAGAATGCCTGCAATTGCTTAGCTTAGCAGGTAAGGTGTGACTTACCCATAAATTTATAAACATCTTAAGAGGGCATTACTCAGTTGAGTGTTCATGCCTGCCCGCCCCATTAGGGGTCACATCTCAAGGTTGAAGAAGAGACAAGTTAAGAAAATTGTCAGGGCAAACCTTTTCAGAGTGAAAGTTGTGAACTCTTGGAACATTTTGCCAGAAAGTGTTGTGATGGCACCAAGTGTTGGTAATTCAAGACCAGACTTGATCAACACTGGCACAGGTTCAGATACATCCTGGAGCCAGTACATGCCTAGTACTTTCCAACAATGTGTAACAGAGGCGTGACCAACCACCCAAGCGGCTAACAAGCCGGCTTGATCAGTCGCAAAAAGAATAAAGTGAAGTAAAAACCTAGAATACAGTATTTATCAAAATTCATAAAATACTGTAAATACAGTATTCATTGTACATAGAAAAGGTAAGTAACATACTGTATGCATATTGAGTACAAAAGAAACTAGCTAGTGCTTTGCCACGCACACTCTATATTAAGAACAAGTCAAAGAGGATATTATTAGAGGTAAAATACGATGCATCCATTTCTGAATAATCAATCTTTACCATATCTTACCGTAGATGATTAATTTAACCATTCTTAAAATTATTGATTGATTCTTGTTTTCATATCACAAGACCAGTAAAAATAGGCATACAGTAAATGATAGCTAGCTGTTGCAGGGTGGTGGTGGTGGTCAGCTGACGATCGGCTGTGAGGTGAATAAAACACTCCTTAATAAATCATTCATTAGCACATCTTATAAAATATATAAGGTATATTTTTTTGTTGCATTTTTCAGTTCTGTAAAAAAGTACTTCTATCTTATTTAAGATATATTTCATCAATAAAAGTATTGTATAAACACTTTTAAGTGATAGCAACTGAGTGAGTGGAGAGGCTACCACCTCAGCCACTCTGCTGGTTAGTGGGAGACCATTTTCTAGGGGCTGGATTGGAATACTGTACACATCTGTGCAGACAATGTGACTTTCAAATTCTTATATATTCAGGATGGAAGCACTCCTTATTAATCCAATTCTGCATCTAACCGCACTAAAAAGTTTACACCACCTCTTCACTCATAAAACTACTGTACTTCAATAGACCCTTTCCACAGACCTCCTCCCCTATGCCTTATGGTCAACTATCTAAATATTGTGACCATGGAAGGGTGGAGGAAGATGTTGGAAGAAAACAGATTAAATTGTAGAAAATTTTAGAAGGAATTCAGAGGTTACAGGAAAGGACAGAATTTGGGGAGTGCCTGAAGTTTTTGGGGAGTGCCTGAAGTTAATTAGAGAAAAATACTTGAAAATCTTTATTGCACAATGTTTCAGACATTGTAAATAAGATGGGAAAGGGTAATATGTGATAAGTAATGAAAAGGCAAATTACTGGGATGTTAAAATAACAAGGTAGCTCATCTACTGAGTAGGTAAGTGTGACGTTCTTGAGAAACTCACATTTGTAATAAAACAAAGTGCATGACATTAGCAACACTTTCAGTATTAGTAAACAGCAAATGATAAAAATGTGTAGCTCTGTTTCTCACCTATGTTCAATGATTCGCTCAACAATCCTTTGGGTTGTCATGTCATTCCCTGAATCCAGCAACTTAAATTTTTTCCTATTCTTGGGCTCTGCATAGGGGTCCGACTCATCAGCATCTGGCATGATCTCGGACATGCCATGACATACCAAATCTACTTTAAGCTGGTCCATCAAGTCAGATGTCACTGAATATGGAGCTCCAATCACAACTTCACTCACATACTGAAATGAAGTTAACACACATAAAATATAATCATCTTATTCTAAGAACTATAAAAAAGCAACAGCTAAAATTATCAATGAAAAAACCAACAACTTAAAATCTGGTTGCAAAAGGAATCAAGGACAATTGGTTTTGGCTTTATTTATCATGCTAGTGGAGTATGTCAGGAGCAGGGCCAGTCTTTTGGAGGTGTAGCAGAAGCAAGGCACCCAGGCTCTTAATTAACCCTAGTTTGGTCTTTCAACACAGATTGTGCCACAAAGTGCACCCATGCTGGTGTGATCCCTACTGCTCAGCCATATCTCATACTGGGAGCACCCTTCCCATAAGCAGAAATGTGGGAACAATGGACTGGCCCCATAAACCACCTAAGTTCCTCCCACTGGGCTGGCTGATGCATCTTTAACGGAGCATTTTGCATCTGGATCGCTCTGCCCAATGTTTGCTTAAATGAAAAAAAAAAACTGTTCCTGTTACCGACACAACCTATGTCGAAAGACTGTTGGAAGGGGGATTGTAAACGCCGCCATTTGTGTTGAAAGACCACGAGTGATAGAAATTTCTGACCATGGCCAGGAATACCATTGAGTTAAAGGGGCCCCAAAAATTTTCATTTGTCATTACTCATAGTACATGATAATTTATAACATAATCCTGCACTTTAAATTTGTAAAATGATGAAGTAGTGAGCAATATAATTGTAAATTATTAAATTACCATTTTGCTTGATATATCAGTTATATAACAGTAATTTAAGTACAAGTAATATCTCCGTTAGCCGGAATCCCTCAAACCCAGAACTCTCCGCAAGCTGGAATTAAAATTTGCTTGGAAAATCATTCCCAAAGCTGGAATTTTCCTAGGTTGAAAATCAAAAGCATTTTCTGAAAATGTCTTGAAAAAAGACGAAAGCTAAAGTATTTTTTTGGGTAGGGTGACCTGACCCGATTCAATGTCAGGTGCAGGTAGGGTGGTCTCATAGTGTATTACTGATCTTCTGATGGAATTTCAGGTCACCCTTTCTTGGGTGGGGGATTAGTGGGTCCCATGACCTGAAGATGTTTTGAATAAACACGAAAGCTAAAGTATTTTTAGGGAGATGTGATATGTATAAATGAGCAAAGTTGTATCCCAGTCCCATCAATCTCTGCAGCATCTACAGAACCAGTCCCATCAACTTCTGCAGCATCTACAGAACCAGTCCCATCAACCTCTGCAGCATCTACAGAACCAGTCCCATCAACCTCTGCAGCATCTACAGAACCAGTCCCATCAACCTCTGCAGCATCTACAGAACCAGTCCCATCAACCTCTGCAACATCTACAGAACCAATCCCATCAACCTCTGCAACATCTACAGAACCAGTCCCATCAACCTCTGCAACATCTCCCAGCAACTCTAGAACCAGTTCCTTCTACATCATCACCACCATCTTCAGCTTTGTCCCAATAAAGCCTCTGTCACTCCTACAAATGCCCATCTCTACATGCACACCAGCCCCATGCTTTAAAGTAAGTGTTTAACTTTAATTTTTACATTTTGTTACTGTATTTTGTGATTCAATTTCTTCTTTTCTCTTAAATTAAGTGATTTGAGATGTATAAAAGGACTTGGGCTATGATATATTGCACATAGGGTATGTGTTCCGACTTACATACATTTCCGAATTACGGACATCTTCAGGAACGGAACCCATTTGTAACCTGGGCACCCCCTGTATGCAGCAATAACAAAACAATGGCAATGTTAAACCATTACTTTACGGAATCTATGAGATTTAAATACTTTTTCCAAGGATAAATTTCCTTGAGTGAACAAAACCAACTGCGGTTACCATCTGGAAATAATAGTAATGAATATTTATGGATGATTCCAATTATGCCAACCTTAAATTCTTTATTGCTCATCACGGTCATTAATGTTTTACAGCCAATTTCCATGCCTGTGTGGGCTAGCTGCAGTTACTTGATACCTGTTGGGTAAAACCAGTTTGGAATGCTCCCCTCCCACCCCACCGCATACCCAAGGCACCAACCCAGAAAATGCAGCAGACACCACAGGATGGCACAGTTCTGGTGACATGGTTGCTGTAGGCATGTTGAGACAAAGTTTTATGGCTGGGTATCTCTCCTAACACCAACCCACATGGTGGGAACAACTGGCAAAGTAGGGTCACAACTCCCTGAGGTAATCAAACACTACCTATCTTCTAAAATGTATTATTGCATTGGATATGAGAAAAGAACAATTTATTAAGTATATAAGTTTTTTGGTAAAACATGATTCCATCTGCTTTTAGTAGTTCTAGTGTCTACACACAGGAAAATTCTGGAACTATTTAAACATCTATTTACAATAACATTGAGGGCAATCAATCAAAATTATATCACTGAGAGGGACACATACAGTTATACAATGAAACCTGATTTTCAAAGCATAATTTATGGCTTTGATAATCATAAACTAGTTTTGGTCCAATTACAAAAATTTTCAGCAGAGAAAATAACTGTTACTGTACACTTACCTTGCAGGCTAGAACAGAAAGAACACGCTCATGCAGGTTCATAATGGGATAATTAGCTCCCTTGTACCGATTGACAACAGGGTCTGTGTGTAGTCCCACAATTAGGAAGTCGCCCTCCTGCCGTGCCTTTTCCAAGAAGTCCAAGTGACCAACATGAAACAAGTCAAACGCTCCTGCCACATACACAATCTTGTCACCAGGCTATAAAGAGAAAATGTATTAAAATAGCAAAGAATCAAAGCTTAGCAGCTATGCACATGATGTACTACAACTGCACAGTGCTAGGTGAAATGTAAATAAACTCTGTAAGCCAGTACACATTGGGTGTTTGTCTTAAATGGGGGGCAGCCTTTCATGGGTCACTCTCACCTTAAAATCAGCAATATGGCACCTTACGAATGAAATAAGTCCTCCATTAAATGAATCACATCGGCTACACGTTAGAAAATTTATTTATTTACCTCTTTTAACATTACTTTAAGTACAGTGAACCCTTGAAGATCTGGACTAAAAGGGGGGACTACTTGTCCTATCTTCCAGCAAATGCACTAAATGTATAAAAACGAAAATTAATTATAAAATCCGAATGAAAGTTTAACATAATCGCCATTTGCATATTCCCTGTTTCACCATAACGAGATCAGCAAGGACGCTACCTCCGCTGATTCCCCAGCAGCATTCCTCTCCCTCACCGAGTCAGCTAACTTGTGTGCAAAGAAATGTACATTCCTTTTATGTGTTTGCCATTAGGACAATTATTTTTTATTTATTTATTCACAATACAGTATGTATGTAGGAAGGTGTGTGCATGTAACAGATTAAAATTAATGAAGAAAGTTATGTATATCTACCCAAAAATACGAGTTGAAAAACAACCATAACACCTCACAGCTTGGCCCAGTAGCCTGGTGGTTACAGTGATGATTCTAACCTAGCTACAATGCCATGATTAATCACTATTAAGCACTATTATATCAGTAAACACTAATAATAACAGTAAATCCAGTGAAATATGGCAGGGAGTGCGGAGAGTTACAAGAGCAGACGACGCACTAACTAGCAAACAGTCACTCACTCCCATTACTGCTCCCATTGGCCACTCCTAAGTTTGTCCAGCAGCTGTATCTTCTCCACGAGGGTCATGACCTTCTTTTCTCTCTTCACTTGTTTGGGCACCTTCCCATGACTGGATAAAAGTGACTGAGGGCGTTTGGGAGCCATAACAAGCACGAGGAGCACAGTTGGCAAGAGAACAGAGTGGCACGAGACGGACAACTTCCCCGTCCCAGTTGCAAACATGCTGCCAACTTTAAAACTACCCGCAGACATTCTTCGGTACATCCAAGGTGTCATCCGCGAATAACTGAAGGCAGGTAATTAAAAATCCACGAATTGTAAGGACATGCTGTATTATTGCTGGATGCAAAATTAGAAATTTTAAAAAGCTTACACAGTGGTAAGACGCCACAGCTCTTGGTTGAGTTTACTAAGTGAATGAATCAAATAACAGATTGATGTGCAGAAATGCTCATAAAAAAAAAAAAAAATAAATAAAATAAAAATTACACAAGTGATTTTGTCAGGAGTTTACTGCGTATGTGAGGAACCCTTTTTGTATGTACAGGGTATGTGGGGAATAGAGGGTTGGAACATATCCCAGTGTTTTCCATTGAAACAACACAGTCTGACCTTGCAAATTCGTGCTAATTGGTATCCCACCATGCCCGAATTTCCAGAAGGCACGGATTTGTGGAATATGCATTAAAAACATAGGAAAACTTGCTAATCATTTGCGAAAAACCTAAATCTAATTGTACAACATAAATCTTTTTTGTTCCAAGCTTACACTACTCCAATGCCATATTTATTGGACAGTTCTTTTACACTTATTTCACTATACCGTATATACTCGTATATAGTTCGTTTTTTAAGAAAAAATTTTTAGGCAAAAAAATTGGAGGTCGACCTCTACATGGGTAATAGTTTTGTTAGGTTGAAAAATATTTACCAGTTACTGCCAGTAAACAATGGAAACGTAAAATATGTACCAATTATTAATGAAAAGTTGTGCAGTTCCTTCAGCAGATGAAGCTCACCAACTTACAATAGGCTAAATTACCTTACAACGTGTTTTCACTAGTCTATGTTGAAGTTCTTAGCACAGGCTAACTTATCATATCATATACGGAATCACAGTACTCATTGATCTACAAAAAATACCGGTAATAAAAACCTTTTCGATATTTCACACTTAATATAATACCCGGTAATCCACTGCAACCTCCTATTGTTTACAATGATACATGATGCACCACCAGCTGTTGCGTCAGCTAGACGGTACACGTGTTTAAAAAATCGTTTTCAGTTAAGAAACTGTTACATCACACGTATATTTTACCTTAACTGTGCCTGAATGAATATATTCTCAGAAATAAATATTAGTTTTGCTGAAACGTGATGTATTTTAATGTAAAATAGGATAAAATACATGACGAAAACAAAAGATTTTACCTAACCTTCCGATGTTCAAGAGAAGTTACTCGTTTATTTTTAATAGTTTTCGTTTAAAATTCAGTCGACCCTCGTTAATTCGGACCCCTTTAATCCAGATTTCGGATAAATCGGACGAAATCTGAACTGTCCGTATCAAATTTCTGGTTCTGGGATTGTCCCAGTTGCAATTGGGGTTGCAATTTCAAATTCTGTGTCATTACTAAGAAATAAAGAAATCACTGGTGTACTGCACTCTAATATTAAGAGAAAACGGACGACTCAGGCGTCCTGAAGTGAGAGAAAACGGACTCCTATGAAGGGGCACTCAAATAAACATACACATATCTGTGTAATGCAATATTATGCAATGTTAACCCCTAAATTGGTTAATTCGGACAATCGTCTAAAACGGACACCCTTCCCCCCTATTAGTCCGTTTTAACGAGGGTTGACTGTATTGTTATATTACAATGATATTCTATTCATACTGTGCTTGATATAATGCATTCACAGAAATGTAATATTTTTTCTGAAATGACGTACATATTACAGTGAAAAGTGGGATAAAATCATGACGAAAACAACCGACTTTCGCTTTGTTTCGTTGTTCAAAAGATGTTACCATAATCGCTTTTCGAATAGTTTTCAGTTAAAAAACTGTTGTATTACAATAATATTCTATCCTAATTGACTTGAATAAATACTACGATACCATATTTCTGAATATTTTCATTAAAATGCATCAAAATCATTTTCCTTGTCATCGTCTTCAGCACCAAACAGCTCCTCCCAGTCTTCTCCTTGAACAGGGCTAGAGGGTACGTGTTTTTCGAATCGTTTTCGGTTAAAAAACTGTTACATCACATGTATATTTTACCTAAACTGCGCCTGAATGAATATATTCTCAGAAATAAATAGTAGTTTTGCTGAAACGTGATGTATTTTAATGTAAAATAGGATAAAATACATGACGAAAACAAAAGATCTTACCTAACCTTCCGATGTTCAAGAGAAGTTACTCGTTTTTTTAATAGTTTTCGGTTAAAATACTGTTATATTACAATGATATTCTATTCATACTGTGCTTGATATAATACATTCACGGAAATGTAATATTTTTGCTGAAATGATGTAGGTATTACAGTGAAAAGTGGGATAAAATAGTGACGAAAACAATGACTTTCGCTTTCTTTCGTTCAAAAGATGTTACCGTAATCGCTTTTCGAATGGTTTTCAGTTAAAAAACTGTTGTATTACAATAATATTCCCTCCTAATTGACTTGAATAAATACTTGATTGGAAATATACAATATTTTTGTTGAAACTACCCGCGTTTCAGTGTAAAGTGTCGTAATAATAAATGGTAAACAATTTGCCTTCGGCACTCGGTGTTTCAGGCACGGCGAGCCTCTGTTTATAGGACGTAGAGTGTTTTTACTAAAGGTTTTGTTGTTCCATTACCCTCAAAAACTTGGGTCAACCTATAAACAAAGAATATCATAAATTAACGATTTCTTGGTCAAAAAATCAGGGTCAACCTATAAACGAGGGAGGGTTATAGATGAGTATATATGGTATATAGAAAACGGTGTAGTTCAGAGTTAAATGATTTAGTGAGCACAAGGTTAGCAAAATTTCAAAAAATTTCAAATGATATATATGTCAAAAATAAACAAAAATTACTATGATAAACAATAAAATTGATACATAGCATATTATAAAATATGATAGCACATATTTAATGTACAGAAAACCCTCGTTATTCACAAGGGTTAAGTTCCAAGGAATGGCGTGAATTAGCAAAATCGAGAATAGCAACTTACACTACCTTAGTGCACTACTTCAGTAGAACGTCGATATAACGTGAGATACGTTCCAAGAGAGGTTGCCTTTAACTGAATTCGCACTAAATCGAAGTGTTGTTTCAATGGAATAATTTAGTTTGGTACTTGAGAGAAACACAAAATACTAAAAAGACTGAGTCTACCCAGATGCACCTCAGCCCATCTTCTAGAATAAACAAAACATTGTTTTTGTAGTATTACTGTATGTTAAAACAAACACTCATAAATCAACACAGCTAAAATTAAGGGATGTGAAATGGTCTGTTTACTGGCTTGGAAGATGGGGAGGATGGAGGGAGGTGAGGTGATATGTTTGACAGTTGATACCAAGGTCTAGTGCTTATTTATTTATCTGTCCTTAAGAGTGACTAAGTTTTTATCTTATAAAATGTCACTAAACTGACCTGGGAGAATATAATTAACATTGCTGGAATTCTTATAAGATAGTGATTAGTTTGAATATAAACATGCTATGATTCTCATTAGACATCCAAATTTTAGTTCTAATTACAAATAGCAAAATTTTTATCTTTTGTGCAAAATATATGATGTTTATATTCAAATTATTCGCTGTCTTGCAAGGATTCTTGCAATGCAAATTATATTCTTCTAACTTTAGACTTCGATATTATATAAGACAAAAACTGTAAGCCTATGACCCCCAACCCTGGCTGGGAAGATGGGGGGGTTGAGGTGACAGTGACATGTTTGACAGTTGGCGCTGAAGGTCTAGTGAAGTATTTATTTGTTTATTTAGTATGTCCTTTAGATTGAGTTTTTGTTTTTTGTTTATGAAATGTCACAAAAGTGACCAGGGAGAATATAATTTACATTGCTGGAATTCTTATAAGATAGTGATTAATTTAAACATAATCATGCTATAGTTTGCACTAGACAAAAATTTAGATCATTTAGTACATTATTTTGAGTACATGTACAGTACAGCTTTGCCCTTAGGACAGTGTAGCGTGCCCAGAGAAACATTAGGCACGAATTTTAAATATGATGCGCCAGACTGACTCGCGCAAAATAGGAAAGATTTGCTTTAAATTAAAACATTGTCCTTAATTGTCGGTGTCGTTTTAAATCAATAATCCTAAATTGAATCGACATTCTACTGTATATACCTATACAGTAAGGCCTCCAATAACAACGGTTCGACCAACAACTTTTCGTATTTAAGACCCAAGTTAATTTGGGACCCAATTCAATTTACGTCCTTATTTCATTCGTATTTACGACCAAAATATAATATAAATAAAATAAAATTTAATTTTCATATAAATAATAACTAACTCCCGATATGTATTATTAAAAAAAAAAATTTGAAGAGCGCCTTGCGCAAAGAAGCTGCTTGGCTAATGAGAGGAGGGAGGGAGGAAGGGGAGGTGACATGTTTGACAGTTGGCACCGAAGGTCTAGTGAAGTTTTTATTTGTTTATTTATGTCCTTTAGATTGAGTTTTTGTTTTTTGTTTGTAAAACATCACATAAGTGACCAGGGAGAATATAGTTTACATTGCTGGAATTCTTATAAGACAAAGATTAATTTAAATATAATCATGCTATAGTTTGCACTGGACAAAAATTTTAGTAATCATTTAGGACATTATTTTGACTACATGTACAGTACAGCTTTGACCTTAGGACAGTGTAGCGTGCCCAGAGAAACATTGGGCGCGAATTTTAAAATATGATGCGCCAGATTGACTCACGCAAAATAGGAAATATTCACTTTAAATTAAAACATTGTCCTTAACTGTGGGTGTCGCTTTAAATCAATAATCTTAAATTGAATCGCTTTAAATCGACGTTCTACTCTGCCCAGAAAAATTCCGGGGATGTTGGATTTTCTGTGTTTGTGAGAGCTGTCTCGTTATCTCTCATCACTGGAAGAGCTGTGCACCAATTGTTCTGGTTAACAGGGATATAACTGTACAATATTACTATAGAGTATAGTTTTTTCTTTATTCATAAGGCACACGAGTCCATTGAAATGACCTTTCCGGCCAATTCCGTGATTACATAAAATTCTTTACAGTACGAAACAGTCATTTCAGTAAAAACTTTTGTTTAAAACTAGATTTAGGTCAGATTTTCTTGAAACAGTGCAGATAAGTAGACCCCTCCCCTCCCCATAGATTAGCCTTTTCTAGACTGAAGTTTGCCCCAATTAGTTTGGTGTATTGAGGTACTCAGGTTAACAATCCCTTACCCGGATTTCGTAATTTTTCAGATTTCAGAATGGTTAGGATACATTAGGTTCGTTTTTTTTTTTTTATGGGGATTAGCCCACCCAGGCACAGGTCACAGACCCAAATCAGAGCCTGGGGGGCAAAAATATAGAAATAATAATTCATAGGTCTAGGTCATGTCTCACTGTCAATCTTTTTTTCATTCTTGTATTTCTTGTATTTCTTTATTATTATTATTATTATTATTATTATTATTATTATTATTATTATTATTATTATTATTTTATTATTATTTTTATTGTTATTATTATTATAGTTATCATAATTATTTTATTTTTGTGTATTTTTTATTATAAATTTTATTTACTATGAATGCTTATTATTATTATTATTATTATTATTATTATTATTATTATTATTATTATTATTATTACTATTACTATTATTATTATTACTACATTTTTGCCCCCCAGGCCCCAATGTGGGTTAGTGACCTGTGCCTGAGTGGGCTAATCCCTTTGTACAGGTATTAATAAAAAAAATAAATAAATAAATAAATAAAAAAAAATAATGTTTTGCCCCACTAAAAAACTTTCGGTTTTTGGAATTTCGGATAAGGGATTGTCAACTGTACTACTGTACAGTATTTCTAAAAATATGGAAAATTCACAAAATAGATAGTTCACAATATAGATAGCAAAAATATTTGACCCAATTACCTTTGGAGTAAGTCCTGAAGAGAACTGCATTATCTTTTGTGTTGTTGGGAGGAACTGTGTTACACCAGTCCATGGAGAGCGAGCACTGGCATCAGTTCCAAGACTGTCAGAATGGCCACGCTCAACAAGGTATTCTGCTTCTCCAACCTGTATGGCAGATAAACACTCAGTGCCAAGGAGCATATAAGTCTCTAAGTTGAAGAAATGTTGAGAAAGAGGTACAGTCGGGTACAAAAGTTCGCTCCCTCCCAAAATAAAACAGCACGGACCCTAAATGAGATAAAACGGCACAACCGCACCAGACAACAGTCAGGGTTATTAAGTTCTGTGATTCATTCCCATGACTCAGCTTCACCAGGGAGAAGAACTTTTGTTCCCGACTGTACATGGCATAAGAATACCGTAGGGAAAATATGAATAGTTCAAAGATCCTAGAGTTACATATATATTAATACCACAGAATTCTTATGAATCCCAGGTTTCCAACATAAAATTTCAGAACTCTGTTAGGTTTTCATTATTAAAGGTTATCATTATGCTATATACTTTGGCAATAAAAACAAATCAATTAAGAATAAGAGTAAAAAAAAGTGTTGCACTACTTTTGACCCACCTACCTACAGTATATTAATACAGCGTAGTTACAGTTCTATTATTTTTATTTTGGGTTCCTTAGACCCCAGTTTTTCTGTTTGAATATTTTTTAAGGATTTTCTAGTGTGAGGTTAATCCTAGAATGGAATACAGTGATCCCTCGGTTAACGAGCGCCTCGGTTAACGAGATTTCGGTTAACGAGTTACCTTCTATAAGATTCTTAACTTCAGTTAACGAGCAATCCCTTGATTAACGAGTTTTTTACAAGCCGACCTCAACATGTTTTCGCTTGCATTTGGCGGTCCACCAGCTGTAGTATTAGTCCGCCAATACAGTAATCGGATTTAGGGCTTAAATTCCTTACTATTTTAGTAAATATCAAGAAGTTTATACTATTCAATAATTTTAAAAGTTTAATATTAATATTTTTTAGTCATTTTAACAATTATTGAACATAATTGAAGGTAAAGAAACTAGTTTCTGGCACGACATCCAGCCTGTTAACACACAAACAGGCGTTAGTCTCTCTCTCTCTTTTCAGTGGAAGTAACATATTGCTTGAGACTCTCTTCAACTAAATGCTTTTTTTCTGTGTTTCCAAGCAAATTATTGGTCATTTTGAAATTTATTTTACATATTGACAATATATAATGCAGTGCAGTGTTGATTTAAAGAAAATAATCTTGAATTACACCAAGAGAACTAAAATTTTATGGGTGAAATGGCGCCATGGGGTGACATCTCTTCCACCCCAATGCCTTCTCTTCTCCCTTCTCCTCCATCCCCATTCTAATTCCCATCATCATCATCATCCAGGAGCCTTCTACATACACACCTCAAAGTAAGTGTACTTTTCTACATTTTTTGTTGAATTTAGGCAAGTTTCTGTGAGCTGGAACCAATTACCCAAAAACCCATTGAAACAATGGTTTCGGTTAACGAGCAACATGCTGGAACGGATTGTGCTCGTTAACCGAGGGACCACTGTACAGTACTACCCCGCTTTACACGGACTTTCACTTTCCGCGGTGCGTCTACTCATATACGCGCTGAAGTATAATTTTTTTATTTTTTTATTTAGCTCATAAAATTCATACAAATTACCCGACCAGAATATAATTTACATTGCCGGAATTCTTACAATATGATGATCATTTTGAATATAAACATCATGGATTTTGCATTAGACATACAAATTTTAGATCTGAAGTAATAATTTGGTTTACACAATGCAAATATTTTATCTTTTGTGCAAAATATATGAAGTTTACATTCAAAATATTCCCTGACCTGCAAGGAATCCAGAAATGTCAATTATATTATCCTAACTTTAGTCTGAGGTATTATTTATTACTAAACGTTAAAATCTAGTGTTTTCACCCAACATTTCTCAGAGAGGTAGGAGCTAGTGAGCTGGGAAGAGAGGGGGGATTTGAGTCCATTATTTGAATGGACATTAACCTGGCGACTGTATTTCTCTTAAATATTAATTGTGTGAGCATACCATCATAAAATTTAGATGTTATTTTTACTACAACATAGGTATTGTGTCGGAAAAAGTGGAGTTTGGGGGTCGGGCCAGTCTCTATTGGAATTAATCCCATATGTTCTGTTGTTCACTTTCCGCGGTACCCTGTGGGTTCAATTGACCGCGTAAATCGGGGTACTACTGTAGTCCTAAAATAAAGGAAAAGGTTTATAGGATGACAATAACAGATATACCGGTATACAAGTACAGGAGTTCCTCGGTATATGATCGCCCGCCTTACAATTCTCCTGTTTAACACCCTTTCTTTGCTATACTACGACTGGATTTTTTTTATTTAACAATAGCCGTGTCAGGAAGTCAAAAGAAAAATCAATCCCTGTCCATCTTCCTCTTCACTTGTTCCTCATAAGACCACCTGTGAGGGAATTACTGTACCATGTGAGGCCCCTCATAACACCATCTGTGGGGGTTACTACATCATGTGAAGCCCCTCATAACACCATCTGTGGGGGAGTTACTAGTTCATGTGAGGCCCCTCACAATACCATCTGTGAGGGAGTTACTACATCATGTGAGGCCCCTCATAACACCATCTGTGGGGGAGTTACTACACCATGTTAGGTAGTAGGCAGCTACCAAGCAGGGAGGTACTACTGCCTGGGAAGATATTGGAGGCATAATGTATTGTCTAATGGTAAACCCTGCTGCCATATGGCATCACAAAAATTGTGACCCAGTCCCAGGTTGCTGATCTGACTTTCTGCCTCATTTACACACAATTGCAGGGTCTTAGCTGTTTCTCTTACTTTGACTGCAACACAGCATACATATATCGTTTCTCACTATTTTCGTATTTCTTTATGGTTCTTTATTATTATTATTATTATTATTATTATTATTATTATTATTATTATTATTATCAGTGTTGTTATTATAATTGTTATTATTATTTAATTTTTTATTTTTTATTTTTTATTATAAAATTCATTTACTATGAACTAATTATTATTATTATTGTTATATTATTATATTTTCGCCCCCCCCCCCGGCCCTGATGTGGGTCAGTAACCTGTACCCGGGTGGGCTAATCCCCATTAAAAAAAAATAAAATAAAATAAAAAATAAATAAAAATATGAGACCCTTCATAACACCATCTTCAACGCCTCAGCGCATGTGACCTTCACTGTAAACACTAATTTGTATGTTCACTATATATTCCTCTTTCTTTCTCTAATGAAAGCTTCTGTTAAATATTTCCCATGTCAATGTATGTATTAAGTAATTTCTGTCCACTGTATAGTTTCAGCCTTCGGGGTGCTGAATTTTTTCAATAAACCGTTAATTATTATTATTATTATTATTGTCATCTGAAAATATCTGCCATGTCCAGAAACAATTTCATTGTCCTCTACACAGGGAAGGACTACCCATGCATCACTACCAAATGTGCAACAGAAATGTTTTTGTTTGACAATCAAAGTGACTTTATGGTATAATTTTTAGTGAATTAAGTGACTGTGAATTCTACACTGGACAGACCAACTGCTTAAATGGCTAATAAGCTGATAAGTGGTGAAATAATAATTATAATAGTAATAAAAAATAAAAAGGGAAATGCTAAATTTATAATGTATGAACTGCATTGTGGTGTTGAGGTTCCTTAATATTGTGATTTTTGGGCCTGTTTGAATGAAAATGCCCACTTTGAATGACTCCTGTAATATAACCCCATTCCCACCATGCTAAATTTTTTTCTATATACAATCGTTCACTTAACCCTTAGGCCCTGGGTGATGTTCCTGAACGCGTGCCTATTTCCGCCATTGTTTAAATGCCCAGGGTGGGTTATCAGGTTCCAGTGTGACTATCTGCCTCTCACACCACATGCTCGGCCACAGGGAAGCTTCCTGAACATAATTACCTATTTTTGTTTGTTTCATTTGTTGTATCAAATTAATATTGCTAAAAGTGTAATTGTATTGTAGTGTAGTATTACTGTAAAACAATACTATGATTATGTTATAAATGTATTTATTTGTGGAATTATTATTATTTTAATCATTACTTGCTCTACCAAACACAAAGACAGCCAGGCAGACTGGCAACCGACTGGTGAGTGCTGCCAAGCAATTTTTTATGAAAAATTATGCAAATAAAATATTCTAAATGAATTATTTATAGCAAATAAGTATAAAGATTAGTAAATACATACATTATTGGCCACCTCTGACACAAAGGCGAGCTAAAAATAGCTGCTAAGTGTGGAGGAACCATGAATGTCAGCTGTCAAAACAACACTGACTCCTTGTCTTCCCCCCCCTCCTCCCTCCCTTTGCACAGTCAGGAAAGTTTCTAGAGGGTCAATATATAGTTCTTCTTACTTAAATTTTATTGTTTTATCATTTTAAAAAGTTAAAAATTATTTTTGGAAAAGTTGATTTTTCTCGATTTACCCCCAGGTAGGGGGTACTGCCACCAGCACCCTAACCCGGGACTTAAGGGTTAATGATTGGGTTTTCAGGAACTTAAACTTGATTATAAATCAATGGATGCCCATACTCCAAGTTTCAAATTGCAAGTAAACAATGCGAGTCTCTAACCTGTTGGTGTTGTCGTGTCATTAGTAGCATCCGTCCAACAAGATCAGTTGTGCTGACACCTTCTGTCCTCTTGCATTCTCTGCAGAAGATTATCATACATTATACAGTATTCCTATTTCAACAACATAAATATATTCCTGTACTCCTTAGCTAGTACAGTACAGTGAACCCTCACTTTACGCGGTCAATTCAACCCACAGGGTACCGCGGAAAGTGAGAAACGCGTAAAGTGAACAACATAACATATGGGATTAATTGAAATAGAGACCGGGCCGACCCCCAAACTCCACTTTTTCAGACACAATACCTACGTTGTAGTAAAAATAACTTCTTAATTTTATGATGGTATGCACACACAATTAATAATTAAGAGAAATATCAATAATATTAGGATTTTTAACACTTACATTAGTAGAAAAGATGGCTGGGCACACGGGGATGGGGGTTGGTTCCGAGGCAGAGGGCAGATTATTGGCCCTCACCTGTATCACTTGTATCAATTGTATCACTATCCACCACAGAGGCTTGCAGGGCCTCTTTGTCAAACCCCTCAAAGTCCATATAAGTCCATATCCTCACTATAATTATCACTATCACTGACTTGGGCCGGCTGTGGTGGGTGGCGGGTGAAGAACTTGGTAATGTTTTGATGACTGGGCGACCTTGTGCGCACCCTGCTCGCGCCGCTTACACAACATGGCGGATGGCGGGAGAGGGCGGGGGAGAGGGCGGGAGAGATGGCGGGAGGTTTGGATCCAAAAATGGCGCGGCTCGCCAGCCGCTCTCCGCTTAAAGGGGTACACGCACCGCGGAATGTGAGCATTCCGGTTTCGGCAGGGTACCGCATAAACGTGGAAACGTGGAATGTGGGACCTCGTAAAGCGAGGGTTGACTGTAATGTGCAAAATGATTACTAAAATTTTTGTCTAGTGCAAACTATAGCATGTTTACATTCAAATTAATCAATATCTTATAAGAATTCCAGCAATGTAAATTATATTTTGTCCGGTCATTTCTATACAATTTTATGAGCAAAAAACAAAAACTCAATCTCAAGGACATAAATAAACAAATAAATACTTCACTAGACCTCTCGGCGCCAACTGTCAAACCGTATCACCTCACCTCACCTCCCGTCCGCCCCCCCTCCCTCCCTCTCCCCCATCTGCCCAGCCAGGGTTTTAAGCTTACTGTACAGTGTTTATCTTATATAATATCTCAGACTAAAGTTAGGAGAATATAATTTGCATTGCTGGAATCCTCGCAAGACAGCGAATAATTTGAATATAAACATCATATATTTTGCTCAAGAGATAAAAATTAATCACCTGTATCACATTACAGTAGTGATTTAAGAGTAAGAGTGTTTATGTGCGTATATATATATATACACAGCTAGACCCCGACTTACGACTGCTACGACTTACGACCGTCGGGACTTACGACCGCCGCAGATTTTTTATTAAATTTTTATTTTTTTTTCAAATGACACACGCATTTTCTATACCGAAATGTTTCCAGTTAATGTAGTCTCCATGTATAATTAGAAAATTATGGGGGCCCCATGTGCATTCAGCTGACTACATTAAAGGTAAGTGCTCAGTCACACTGTATCCATTCCTTATTATTTATTACTTTCACTGTAGTACTGTATTTCATTGTAGATTTTTATTAAAAAAAAAAAAAAAAAAAAAAATTATCTATGTTGGACTTACGACCATGTCGGACTTATGACCTGGATGTGGGTCCCTAACCCCGTCGTAAGTCGGGTCTATCTATCTATCTATCTATCTATCTATCTATCTATCTATCTATCTATCTATCTATCTATCTATCTATCTATATATATATATATATATATATATATATATATATATATATATATATATATATATATATATATATATATATATATATATATATATATATATATATATATATATATATATATATATATATATATATATATAGTGATTTAAGGGCGATTTAGGGAAATTTTAGGAGTGTTTCTGACTTTATGCATTTTTGGCTTTACTTTGTATATACTTTTCTGTGAGCTGGAACCAATTACCCAATATCCCATTGAAACAATGGATTCGGTTAATGAACGACCTTCCTACAACACCCACACACACCCTCCAGCACTGCCCTTATCACACATCACCTACACTGTGCTACAACACCTACACATCACACACAAACACACCCTCCAACACCATCCACATACACCCTCCAACACCATCCACACATCCCTACATCATCAATATACACCCTCCAACACCATCCACACATCATCAATATACACCCTCCAACACCATCCACACACACACCCACCAACACCATCCACACACACACCCTCCAACACCATCAATATACATCCTCAGCACCACCCTCACCCCATTTCCCACGTCTCCCCCACAATCTCCAACACACCCCCAACACAGGAATTAAGACAGCAAGCATGAGGAGTCAGGGTCTTATTGTATGACAGATTTGCTATGTGTGACTGAGTGGTAGTGAGTTAAATATCAGCTCTTGAGGAGCTTATCGCTGGGCAACACTGGTACATGTTACCTCTCCTTTCCATTCCATCTCTCTAATCACCCACACCTTTCTGCTTTCTCACTCCATATTTTAAAATGTTATGTAAAGTAATGTTGAAGGGATACAACTTTGCTCATTTATACTGATACTTATCACAATCTCCCTAAAAATACTTTAGGTTTTGTGTTTAATCAAGACATCTTCAGGTCATGAGACCCCACTAATCTCCCACCCAAGAAAGGGTGACCTGAAAATTCCATTGGAAGGTCAGTAATAAGACCACTAATCCTCCACCCTACCTCCACCTGACATTACATCAGGTCAGGTCAGTTACATGAGACCCAGTAATCCCCCACAGTTCAATGGGAGTGGAAAATAACAGTCTTTGCTGTAACACACAGCTTCATTCATGCCCATATCATATAGATTTTTAATTGTTAAATATATTTATTTAACCAAACTTTTATAGAAACTATTCTGGATTACAGCTTTAAAGTAAAGAAATTAAGTTTCTAACTTAATTAGAACTGCATTTACGGACTCCAGTAGTTTAGACTCAAGAAAAACATCCCCAGCATCCAGAAACATTCTGGAGAAGTGGGCTAGTGTGTGTCTGTGCAAGAGGTCTAGTTTAAACACTCAGAAACTTTTCCCAGTAACATTAAAAGATTCCGGGGATAAGGAATTTTTCCGGGTTTGAGAAAGTCGGCTGGTTAGCCGAGTTGACTCGGCATTATGACAGTGTTAAAAAAGTTCACCTGACCAAGACACACCCGGGTGGTAATAGTTAGGAAGCATTACTCACCGGCGACATGACCATGCACCTGGGCAAACACAGCTGACCAGACCTGACCCAAGAGAGATCAATCTCATTGACCCAGAGTTCTTACTGCCACGTCATTAGCTTAACCCGGAAACATGACTGTCTTACTCAAGAAGCTACCCTCCAGCGATTACACATGTCATCTGATCAGACACACCCAGATTTGTGTCGACATCTTCCGGCTCGTGACCGCCAATACAGGGTATAAGAGTCTGCAGCTCCTTCCATGGGGCATTAGCATTCGGATTATTCTTGTAACAGGGAAGGGGCCAACAGCTCCTGCCCAGAGGGAGACTTCCCTTCCCAGCACCGAGTCTCCCATAGAAGACATAGTCCAGTAGCACCTGCTGGGCTTCCCTCAGGTCACACGTGATTCATTGTCAGAGCGATCCATTAGGGTGAGTTACTTACGGTGGGATGTGTATCCATTTCATGTTTGTTGTCCGAGAATCATTGCATAGTAACGTAAATATAATGATCTATTTATGTGTCCATGCCATTCAGTTGATTAATAAATAGTTGTTATTGAAAGTGGTGTTTAGAAATATTTCCCCTAAGAATGTATTTAGTTAAATAACTAACCGGCCATGCTACCGAGCTTCTTCACTTTTACCTACGACTAAATATTCTATCTATACTTTCTACGTAGAACCCCCCATTACATCTGTAACTTCTGAGAATATTTTTCCGTTACCCGGAAAATTCCCGGAATGAGGGATTTTCTTCCAGCTTTGAGGGAGTCGTCTCGTTAACGGAAAATCTCTCATTCCCGGAAGTGGTCCGCACCAATTTTTCCGGCTAACGGAGATATCATTGTATACATATAATTAAACCCATTACCTTTTGCAAAAAAAAATTGATCATAAAAACTCGAACTGTAGTCGCTTACAGGTGTGGGAAAAATGAATGGTAGTGAATGTAGGTAAAGAATATGATTTTGATTCCTGTCACCCTACATCATAGCATGCAAAGATCAGTAGATGTGGAAAAAAAATTTGAGATGACATGGGGTCAACTTTATAATTTCCTAAGATCAGATAAAAGATTCTTTTGTTCCAGGAACATATGGAACAACCCAAAAAACAAGTTATTCAGCCAATTTGGTCAAAACCCAATTTAAAATGAAAATCAAATATCCTGTACTTGTTGAGAATTCAAAACTCACTTGTATCTCTTGGCAGCCTTCACTAAGTGGTATGTGTCTACTCCATCTGCAGTCATTGTGATATCATCTGGGAAACAAATTTTTTTTTTCATAAATGTAGAAAACGTAAGTAAAGAACAGAAATGCTCACTTGGTGAGGGTTCTATCCTCATAACATAATTTATAACAGAACAAATTCAGAGAAACCCTAAGTATTGATGCTTTTCAGGGTTTTCCTGATGAAACCTTAGGTTATGGCAACTGGTGGTAATCTGAAGACCACTCACTTCCCCCATGACACGTATTGTTCAAAATACAATTTGAGGTTATGGATTGCACAAAGATCTTGGGGTGTGGTGAGTCAAAGTGCCATGAAGCTTATTCTTTCTATTAAGCAGAAGTCACTTCATTCATTCTACTGTACATGTGGCAAAGTTTCTGACAATGAAGTAAATTCAAGGAACACATCTACTTTGTCAACTGAGGTATTCCTTTATAACTCATATAAACAAAGCTGGAAAATGTTGATTAATGAGCTTGGCTTGGATATCTGTGAAAGACAGCTGAAATGCTTAATTTCATATAATTCTGAAAAGCCTTTCTGAGGTTGCTGAAAAGAAATGACATTCCATCCTGACAGATGAATGGACAATAGTAACTGTGGAAGCATAAAAAGCATCTGGTAATATAGGATCAGTTTATCAGTATTGAGGTACAATATCCCCAGTTTAGTTTGTAGTCTGATTAAAAAGTAAAGCATCTCTTAGAAAAAACTGTAATACAACTCCTGAGTAAGCAGAAAACACAATGTACAGGATATATTTGTAAATTTTAACACTTACCTCCATGCACACAGAAATCACAATCATATTTGTCCAAGGTTTCTATGGTGGTAACATATGGGGCACCTTCTATTACTTCATCCACCCATTTGATTGCTCTTACCATTTTATATCTGTAAGAGCAAGCAATAATCAATGTACTGTACATGATCACTCAATATTAAAGATAAAAAATGAATTTTATGCAACTAGATCACATTTTCCAAGTACGGAATAATGGGGAGGTAAAGGTCAGGATGCAAATCTGCTCCATGGTAGACGCCTATGAGCCAAGGATTCGAGGTAATTTATGCCAGATGCTCCTGTTGTCAAGTAAGATCCTGCAGTGTGATACGATCCAGGCTCAGTGCTGGTTGATGGTCCTGCCACTGGATTTTGAGGGTTTGATGGTTCCTTGTAAATTAAATTAGTACAGCGGATTCTACATAATTTGCAGGTTAGGTACCAGAAGAAATCATGAACTATCAAATTGTGAATTACCTGTACTACAGTATATGGTAAATGTAATTGATTTAAATAGAAATAATTGGTTTAGTTCCAGAGACCAAGAAATACCCCAAAAGTGTTCCAATACTGCTTTAATAAACACAAAACATCATATGTAATACTATACATAACACAATACAGAAACACAGATATTGTCCAAAAAGTAGTTCTACATTACATAAACAGCTCCATTTTTTTCATATTTTGTGTGGGTTATGCCAACATTGAGACCAGGGAAGAAAATGCCAGGTTTTCAAGCATCTCCAGTTTCCTGATATCCAGTTTTGAGGGTCTGTACCTGTACATTGAACTAAATGGAACTTGTGAGTATTTTTCACAGGTGCTCCTCTACTTACAAACTTTCAGAGATTAGAAAGACCTAATATCCCAAGAAAAGGTGCAACACCGAATGACTAGACGATTCTAGAACTAAGTCTTCTTGATTACCCAAGAAGGTTGAGGGCCTTAAGAATAACAACTCTTCAGACAAGACACAATAGAGCAGATCTCATTGCAACATTAAAAATCCTGAAAGGGATGGAAACGTGCACTTGAGCCATTTTTTGGTGATGTCACACACCATCAACATGAGGGGACATGCATAACTTCAAGCTCGCCAAATTATCACGGAGAATGAACATAAGGAAATATTTCACAGAGGAGTTTAGTTTATCTTTGGAATGGTCTACCAGTCCAAGCTGTGGAATTAAGAACAGCACTGGGTTTCCAAAGGCCCATGACAAAATCATCAAGAACAAGGGAAGAGTCTTACACAGCCCACTGGCATCCTTCCCTTGGCATGGCCACCCACTAGGTAAATACTATACAGTACAGTATTTAAAAAAAACAAACAAACATTATTACAGATTGTTTAGAAGTTAAGAGTTCCCTAAAAGCAAGTTAAATGAGTTTATTTACCTGCCAGTAGCTCCTCTCTATTTGCAAGAAGTAGTGTTACCGCCACAGTAAGATAAACTAGAAGAGAGAGAGAGAAAGAGAGGGATAGAGAGAGAGAAAGGGAGAGAGAAGAGACAGTGTGTTGACAACGAACTTTGCTGAGGTGTTAAATGTGCCGGCCAGAGATGGAGCTGGTAGCAGCTGTGTGACTGTCTGAGGGACAGTCTATTGCCTTCTACTGTAAAGGCAACATCTGGATTCTCATCAGCCAATATCACCAGCAGGACATTAGATTTGTTCTCGTTGGTCTAACCCTAGACCCCAAAATGTGAGTGTGATTGTGAATTGTTGAATCCTCTGAGAACTCTAAATAACTTTAATAAGTGTGATTATGTACTGTATATTGATCGTATTATTCAAACTGCGTCCTGATGAACCAGCAGTTGTTATATGTGAATTGTATTCAACAGGTTTTGACCGATTTATACTCATCGCGTCAACGACAAGGGTCGTATTGTCCTGCACAAACCAAAGTCGCTCCTATAAGCGATTACAAGTAGAGAGTTCAAAAATAAATATTTTCTGACAATATTATATAGCCCAATACCTTGATTATCTTCGCTTATGTTTACTTGTATTAATAATTACAATTGCTTTCACATAACTTAAAATTAATGTTGGTCAAATTTACCAAAGATTTAAAGTACTGTACAGTACTTTATGCCAGATGCTGCCAGTTCTTTCTTGAATAATTATCACTTGTAGTCAGCAATTATGTAAAGAAACAATACAATACAGTATTCCAAAAAATATGAATCCTTCCCCTCAGGTATGCACCACATGCTCAAATCACTGAGAAAGGAAAAATAACATTCCCACATGCAGATACCTCTGTAGTACATACCTCTCCTCTTGTGTAAAGACAGGAGGACCTTTATGTTTGCTAATCTCTTCATCAGTGTGCACACCAACTATTAGGTAGTCTCCCATTGCTTTTGCTTGACGCAGGGAATTTGCATGTCCAAAGTGGACCATGTCATAACTGAAAGGAAATATGAAAGACCATTATCACATACTTGAATCTATACTGCTCGTATACATGAACGCATACATACGTGCACACACACACATGAATACAGCCTGTACTGTATAATGTTAGATAATAAAAAAAAAAGTGTCTTGAAGACAAAAAGACTTGTCGAGGCAAGGGGATATATAATTATGTATTAATATACATACACATCATCCCCGTTTTATGCCATTTATTACCTAGTGAGATAAAAAAAATTACTTTATTGAATGGATAGTTATCAGACAGGAGAATGTACGGCCAATTGCATACAGTAATACACCCGTCAAGTGTTGTGTCTAGGAATTTAAATTAATGGCCTGTAGCACCATCTCCTGATATATGTACTGTATATGCGTAACAGACATAGTACAGGTAACATAATTACCGGGTGAATATAATCCCTAAAGACTTTCAAGCCAAACAAGCAAAGAAACTAAGTAAAGGCCTTGTGGAGGAAGCCATTTGTGGGGCTTCCAAAACATAGCACTTATAAGTCTGGTGCTTTGTAGTGCAACAAATTACCTGTCATTCTATAAAGCTAACACCAATTTTGGTTAAATCATATGGAACATGGTACCTGTATAAGAGCCTTATACCTTGTATGACAACGAGGATTCTATCACAAACACAAGGGATTGTATCATACACCGGCTTGAGTTTTTTAACCTTGTCCAATGAACCAGCTGAACTGTTTTTTTTGTGTGTTTTTTTATGGGGATTAGCCCACCCAGGTACAGGTCACTTACCCACATCAGGGACTGAGGGGGCAAAAATGTAATACTAATACTAATACTAATACTAATACTAATACTAATACTAATACTAATAATAATAATAATAATAATAATAATAATAATAATAATTAGTTCATGGTAAATAAAATTTATAATAATAATTATACAGTGACCCCTCGGTTAACGAACTCAATCTGTTCCAGAAGGTCGTTCATTAACCGAAAAGTTCGTTAACCGAAACCATTGTTTCAATGGGTTTTTGGGTAATTGGTTCCAGCTCACCGAAAATTTCCTAAATTCAACAAAAATGGTAGAAAAGTTCACTTACTTTGAGGTGTGTATGTAGAAGGCTCCTGGATGATGATGATGATGGGATTTAAAAATGGGGTGGAGGAGAAGGAAGAAGAGAAGGCATTGGGGTGGAAGAGAAGTCACCCCATGGCGCCATTTCACCCATAAAATTTTAGCTCTCTTGGTGTAATTCAAGATTATTTTCTTTAAATCAACACTGCACTGCATTGTATATTGTCAATATGTAAAATATATTTCAAAATGACCAATAATTTGCTTGGAAACACAGAAAAAAAGCGTTTAGTTGAAGAGAGTCTCAAGCAAGATGTTACCTCCAGTGAAAACAGAGAGAAACTAACACCTGTTTGCTGTGTTAACAGGCTGGATGCCACGCATTAAACTAGTCACTTTACCTTCAATTATGTTCAATAATTGTTAAAATGACTAAAAAAGTTAATATTAAACTTTTAAAATTATTGAATAGTATAAACTTCCTGATATTTACTAAAATAGTAAGGAATTTAATGTATTGGCGGACTGATACTAAAGCTGGTTGCCCGGTCAGTGCAAGCAAAAACATGTTGAGGTCGGTTCGTAAGAAATTCATTAACCGAATTTTTGTTCGTTAACCGAATTGAAGATTAGTTAGTCTCACACAATTTTATCTTAATTACAATTTATTAAACATACTGACATAACACAAAGTTCATAACTTTATTACTCTTAGCTTCGCTTCACTTTGCATTGTCTTATTATTCCAGGTTAGGCAGAAACGAGTACTCGGTAGGCGTAATTATTCAACAATATTTCAGTACCGAGGGGTATGTCATCACTTCGGCTGTACTTACAAGTGCGGGTCAATGCAGATCAGTATGGTGTTCCAAGAGAAAACAGTATATTGCGTAAATCGTCCCAGCACAAATTCTCGGACAGAAGGCTGGTCTTCACAGCATCACTAGAGAGGGCGATCTGTCTCATGGAGGAGCGGGCAGCCACCGCCACCAGTCTAAGACAGTCCACTCAGCAGAACCAGGACTTGTCTGTAAACACTTCTACATCTGGTGAGGTCACAGGTCGAAAGATTTAATGGCATCACACGCCAGCACTGTAGCTGAAGCCAGCGGTGATAACATATACAGTTAACCCTCACTTTACGCGGTTAATGTAACCCGGAGGGTCCCGCGTAAAGTGAGAAACGCGTAAAGTGAATAACATAACATATGGGATTAATTGAAATGGAGTCCGGGCCGATCCCCAAACTCCACTTTTTGACGACACACAACTATGTTGTAGTAAAAATATTATCTTAACTTTATGATGGTATGCACACACAATTAATAATTAAGAGAAATATCAATAATATTAGGTTTTTTAACACTTACATTAGTAGAAAAAATGGCTGGGCACACGGGGATGGGGGGTTGGTTCCAAGGTAGAGGGCAGATTATTGGCCCTCACCTGTGTCACTTGTATCAATTGTATCACTATCCACCACAGAGGCTTGCAGGGCCTCTTTGTCAAACTCCCCAAAGTCCATATAAGTCCATATCCTCACCATAATTATCACTATCACTGACTTGGGCTGGCTGTGGCGGGTGGCTGGTGAAGAACTGGTAATGTTTTGATGACTGGGCGACCTTGTGCGCACCATGTTCGCGCAGCTTACACAACATGGCGGATGGCGGGAGGTTTGGATCCAAAAATGGCGCGGCTCGCCAGCCGCTCTCCGCGTAAAGGGGTACACGCACCGTGGAATGTGAGCATCCTGGGTTCCGGCAGGGCACCGCGTACACGTGGAAACGCGGAATGTGGGACCGCCAGTGAGGGTATATATATATATATATATATATATATATATATATATATATATATATATATATATATATATATGTTATATATATATATATATATATGCTATGGTCCTCGTTAATCTAACGCCAAGGTTAATGAAATTTCGGTTAACGAACTGCCTCCCATAAGATTCTTAAATTCGGTTAACGAACAAAAATTCGGTTAACGAATTTCTTACGAACCGACCTCAACATGTTTTCGCTTGCACTGGCCGGTCAACCAGCTTTAGTATTAGTCCGCCAATACATTAATCGGTTCTAGGGCTTAAATTCCTTACTATTTTAGTAAATATCAAGAAGTTTATACTATTCAATAATTTTAAAAATTTAATATTCAATTTTTTAGTCATTTTAAATACCTTAATATAATTAGCTAAAGTGACTAGTTAATGAGCTGCCTCTAGCCTTCTTAACACAGCAAATACATTAGTCTCTCTTGTTTTCAGTGGAGGCAATATCTGCTTGGAGACTCTTCTTCAACCAAAGCTTTTTTTCTGTGTTTCAAGCAAATTATTGGTCATTTTAAAATACACACACACACACACACACACACACACACACACACACACACACACACACACACACACACACACACACACACATTGGACAATATATAATGCAGTGCAGCGTTGATTTAAAGAAAATAATCTTGAATTAAACCAGAGAGCTAAAATTTTATGGGTGAAATGGCACCATGGGGTGACTTTTCTTCCACCCCAATGCCTTCTCTTCTTCCTTCTCCTCCACCCCCATTCTAAATCCCATCATCATCATCATCATCCAGGAGCCTTCTACATACACACCTCAAAGTAAGTGAACTTTTCACCATTTTTGTTGAATCTTAGGCAATTTCGGTGAGCGCTGTCCACTACCTGGAAAAACCCATATTGAAACAATGGTTTCGTTAATGAATTTTTCGTTAATCTTAACACAACCTGTTGAACGGATTTTGTTCATAACCATGACCTCACTGTATATATATATATATATATATATATATATATATATATATATATATATATATATATATATATATATATATATATATATATATATATATATATATATATATATATATATATATATATATATATATACACACTCCACGAACAACTATAGACCGGAGACCCTGACCAGCATAATATGTAAAGTACTTGAGAGTATTATCAGAGATGCCACAATGTACTACGAAACAACCTTGGAAAGGATTGCCAACACCGTTTTTTTTTCTTTTATCCTCTTCACCACTGATCGGCTCGTTAGCCGCTTGGGCGATCGGTCACGTCTCTGTTAGGCACTGTTGGCATGTACTGGGCATGCACCGGCTCCTAAATGTGCCAGAACCTGCTCCAGTGTTGGTCAAGTCTGGCCTTGAAAGAGCTCACACTCGGTGCCGTCACAACACTTGCTGGTAGATTGTTCCACAAGTTCACAACTCTCACTCTGAAAAAGTTTGCCCTCACAGTTTTCTGGACTTGTAGCTTCTTCAATCTTGAGCTGTGACCCCTTGTGGGGCTAGCGTCCGCCAGATCCAAGTAAGGACACTCGACTGAGTAGTGCCCCTTGAGATGCTTATACACCTCAATTAGGTCTCCCCTTGTCCGTCTATAGTAAAGCTAGGCAAGTTTAGGCGCTCCAATCTCTCAGGGTAGCTGAGGTGCCGAAGTGCAGGCACCAGTCTGGTGGCCCCCTTTTGAACATTTTCAACGAACTGACAGTCCCTAACATATCTCGTGGACCAGACGGGGTGACAATACTCCAGATGGGGAAGCACTTTGTAGATATATGAGACGAATATGCTGTAATATGTAACTGTACTATTTACCAATATTGATTCAGGTCTCTGTATTATATGTTATAATCATACTCCCTTTTGTCACTTGAATGTTAGTTCAGACTTTGAGCACATGCGCGCTGTAAGCGCATGCGCAGAGAGAGATACCCAGAGAGATTCCAAGACAGGACGCTGTTCCCTCTGTCTTAACTCCTTTTGTGTGTTTGTCCCAGAAATAGAACTTACGAACTTGACACCAGTGTTTCCTTCACCCCTGATTGGAAGTATCACCTGGGTCTCCCACATGGCGTAGTGTTTAGC